CGTTGAAACGTGATAAATTATCTGCTACAACATTTGATTCATCTTTTATAAATTGTATATTGGTCAAAAATTGGGAAATGTAATCTAAATGTCGCATTTCTCTTAGAGAATAAAGATCGCTTTTGGCATCAAAGGAGTAAGCCAAAAGTTTGTGACCGGTGAGTATCACGAAATCTTTACCTTGAAGCGAATGTTTAACCGCTAAGTAAATAGCTAATAATTCCCTACCGAAAGTGTTATGACGGGATGAGAGATCAAAATTAAATTGATTTACTCATTATGACGTTTATTCAACATTAATTCCGTTTAATTCAATTTTATGATCACTCAGTGTAGTATTTGTTTCGCTTTCCCCTACGACATTTTATTCTATATAACATATTATATTCTTGGATGAAGTATTTTTCATATACGTGATTTATTCTGATTACTAATCAGAAATGGGTGTGCAAAGCGGTATATAAATGAATGTACTTTGAACTAGAGGGGTGTTCGTGCTTCTGACTGCTTGCGGAATATATTTCCCCGTTCGAACTTGGACTTCTCTCTCTAGTTAGTGGGGCTGGGACGCATCAGAATAGTTAGCTTATTGGTCTTTGGTCACAGAGTCTAGGTGAACTCGTAATTGCTTTAAACATAACAAATTTGGCGACGAGGTCGACGCAAACATGGTTCCTCCAAAAGTGAAATTATTACTCGAGCAGCAGCTGAAACGTTTACGGATCTTAAGAGATGAAAAACTTACGTCTAACACTCAGCTAAGCACTTCTAATCCTACTACTACTGCACCATCAGTTGATGGTATCGCGAATATTATCTCTGTGTTTTATTACGATTCTGAATCCAATGTCACGTTTGATCTGTGGTTTCGGCGATATCAAGACTTATTCAAATTTGATTTCGCTAGTCAGGATGATTCTTGGAAAGTCGGCTTGCTGCTTTGGAAGCTGGGTCCTAGTGAACTAGATAGATATTGTAACTTAATTCTGCCTCCGAACCCACGTCACCGCCCATTCTCCGACACAGTCTAGTCATTGAGCAAACATTTCGGCGATAATTCCTCACTGTTCAACGTGCGTTATCGATGTTTGAAGCTGACTATGAACGAAAACGCTAATTTTCTCACACATGTGAGTGTCGTCAACCGCGAATTCGAACGCTTCCGTTCGAAGTTGCTGGCTGAAAATCAATTGAAAGCCCTTATTCTAATCTTCAGTCTTCAATCGCAGAAGTTCAATGACATTAGAACACAGCTGCTTGGTCGATTGGACCAAGACCTCAAACTTACTCTCAATGATATTGCAAATGAATATCAATGTCTAATGAATCTGCAACGCGACATTACGATGGTCCAGCGTGATGGTTCTGATCTTACTGAAGTACATGTAATCAAACAACTACCCAACCTGTCAAATCCGCCCCAGCTACATACAGTCCAGTTCAACAAGCGAAAACAAATTTTGCTGCTCCATACTGATACTGCGGTGTATGGCATTATATTCGAAGCTGCCCTTATAAACAACATCGGTGCAGGAACTGTAAAGCTGTAGACCATAAAGGGGGATTTTGTCAAAAAAGAAGCCGAATGGCTCCAGAAGTACCAGAGAGCCTGTTCCTACATCCTGCACGAATTCGTTGGGTCTAGTAGCAACTTATCAGAGCTCAACCTTAGGTGAGAGGAAATTTATTACCCTTAATATTAATGGGGATCCGTTTAGATTGCAAATAGACACTGCATCTGACGTGACAATTCTCTCACACTGGTAAATAAACAAGTATGCGTGTCAATAAATGTCATAAAGCAACCAATTGAGTTTTGTTTCTATTCAATAAGATGAATTTTATTACCGGTAAATATATCTCACTTAAATCTTGGAATCCATTTTTCTACCAGAAAAAAAATTAGTTGAGTATCGCATCAACATGATCAAATGTACTTCAATTTAACAGCGAAGAGAGTACTTATTAGAAGCTAGAAGGGTCTTTTTATAATTTATTAAAATAATTACGTGAATGATAATAATAAGCATGCCTTGCTGATTAACGGGAATGGAGATTATTTAAGTCAAAATGGAATATAGAATTCTTTAAATTGATTTCTAACTGCTTAAGCAATCACATAATATTTAAGCTTATTTGAGTGTAACTTCATTTGGTTACATTCAAATTTTGCTTCTATGTAAAGTGTTTTAAAATAACTTTCAAATGTGAATTGTGGTTAGCAGTTGAATCCAGGACGCGCGATGGTATTTGAAGCAAACGGTACTGGGTTTGAGCCTCGGAGTAAACATCAACTCTGAGACGCAGGTACATCCAGCTGACAAGTCTCAAATAGGATGAAACGCGCGTCCTGGATTCTACTGTTAAATACTAACCATCTTTGCTTAGAATGCTTGTGACTTAAGGTAATGTCGAGGTAATCCACACAGGATGCACACATACCAATAAGAAAATAATCGATTTCAGACCTAAACATCAATGGGAAGATTCAAACAAATAATGCAAAATGGATTCAACTTTCAAATGGTTTCATTCTGTTGATTATTTCCTAAGGATTATTTTATTTGTTGATATAAATTTTGACGATAATAAAAGCAACAAACACTATTAACGTACTACTGATAAATTACTATGAATACATTTGGAAACTTTCATTTAATTGGTTGCATAACTCCAATGATTTGTTCACTGAGTTATGCAGTTGAGTAAATACATTTTACTTTCAATCAAACAAGAAAGCATATTCTGGTCTAGCTTTACATAAGAATACAATCGACACATTATCTGTAAATGATTTGGTTACATATCTTAGCAACCTCAGATTGGATAAGTTTTCTGCTAAGTTGACTTGATTTTTAAATGAATCTTTATGATTGTTTGATAAGTAAAGGTTCTGTCTTTCAACTCTTGGTTACCTCTTGATGAGGATAGTGAACAGCATTACCTATCTAATTGATAATCATTTTCTGACCTTACTTGCAAATTTGTTTTTTAAGGTCATGAGAATAAACTATTTCAATAAATTAGATAAACTGAACTCAAGTACTCTCAATTTTATAGGTATGTTTTTTATTTCACATCCCTAGATATGGCCAAGATAATATATTAACTTTTACATTCATTAATTTTAACTAACATATGATTTTTCCTGAGGTTAGATAGACAAGGAACATGTCTATTACTGGTTAAAGAGATCCAGAAAACATCATGATTAAGTCTTTATTCACTTCTGATTTTAACAACATTGAACATCAATTAAATTCTGGTTCACATTAAGTTTCATTTTGAACTACGTTTGGGGCGAGACTCTAATTTTTGGAAGAGACAATCAGAGTCGTTTTAGAGATTTCAAGGTTACGGCGCCAACTTCAGTGCTTAATGCTAACGTACGATCGGTTCACAGGGAATTTTGTACAAAACGTGATAATTGAGCGGCTATAACAAATAAAACGGCGAGACTATAATTTGTGGACGAATCAGGTATAACATAATAGATCTCGGATTTTAACGCGAAAGCCTTCCATCCATTTGGTTAAATAAATTTCTGACATTATAGCTGATGTCAGTTCGTGATGAAAACCCCATATATAATTGCTAAGGAAAATTACGACAATTGCGAACTGGATAATAAAAGCACCAGTAACACCGGCTGCAGCCAGGTACTATAATATACAAGGATGATTGGAGAGCAAACAGACTCCTACATAGGTTTGGTTATGTGCATCGTGTCGTTATCCACAAGTAGCATCTTTTGCACTCAAAAACCGGAGTGCACATAAACAATATTGAAACTATGTGGTCGATGCTGAAAGAGTTTTTGAGACTTTATCATGGCTCCGGAGGCCGACTATTTTGTAGCCGTATGGATGATTTCCTCTACTGAATGCATTACGATTTTAGAACCTCTGAACCTCTTTCTAACCTTGACAAGTTTTTGAACCCTGTATAAGAAGTGTGTACACTTTATTTCCTTGGTTTTTATAGAACATATTTTTACTCTATGCTGACTGTTTGCTGATTGGCTAATATTTCACAAGGTCGGTTAAGATTCGTTCAAAGATCGTCCATAAATTAGTCTCGCCACGTTTGGTATGAAGTGGTGAATTTTTAACGGTGAATACATCCTGAAATTCAGTAAATCCTTATTTCCTGTTAACATTTGTTACTAACCCTTTATTTCTAACCGAATAGATCAAGTTGAAAACAAGTAGATAATAACGCTTTGTATTTCATTGTCGCAACATTTTGCGTGGGGGTGGCCTGTTTCATCATCTTTCTTGTTGAGGAATTTCTAAGTGAAGTATCTTAATTTCGTGAAATTAGGCAAATTTCTGCAAGCATATAACTAGAGTGCTCATCAACTTGAAGCTTTGAAAATATCACTATCTTTAAGATTAAAAACAATGAAGCAAATTGAAAAAGGAGTAAAACTATTCGACATTGTATATCTCGTTGAATAATGAATAACTTTTTAATAAATTTACTTAATATGACAAAACGTTAACATGAAGCTCCTTTATATAAACTATTTTTTCTTTCTAAAATTAACTAATTCTTTCCTCCTGAAGTATGTCCCTATATACAATCTTTCTTTTATATATTACCACCATTGTATTAACTACTTCTATGAATCTTGTGTTCATCTTGTTGTACTAATAAGGTATGACAACTCTCTCTGTCTTCTCTTAAACTAAAAGATTAAAATGACTTCATATCTTTCTTTCTACGAACTAATTCTTTCTTTCTGTACTATATCCTTATATGCAATCTTTCTTCTATATATTACCACCATTGAATTAACTACTTTTATGAATCCGGTGTTCATCTTGTTGTGTTAATAAGGTATGGCAACTTGGACCGATGCATATATGTCCCTGGTCCTACGTTGTAGCTGACTGACCGACTGACTGACCGATGCATATATATGCCTAGTCCTACATTGTAACTGATTGATTTCTAAAATGAACTCAACAAAACTATAAAGAGAAAACAATTTTGATCCTTTGAAAATGTTCATTATGTTGTATTTTATATGATCATTTAAAATATATTTACACTTTAAAACAAAACAAAACAAACGAAAATTCAAACAAATTTATTTTGTTTTACAAAGAAACAAAAACAAAACTCCTCACTGGTAGTTATTTTAAACAATAAAGTTGGAAAAATATAAAAATCAAAGATGAATAATCAGTAATGATGAAAAGAATGATTTGAAAAGAAAAGAAAAAAGAAAAAAAGAAGTTATAATGTTTATCGTTCCTTAAATAAGTAAGCTCAGGGACAAATATTACGTAATATGTATAAGTGTACTTCTTTTTTCTTTTCTCAATTACATACATTATTTGAAACAAGCTGCTTCTAGAGCTTCACTTCTTTTTTTGTTGTTGTTGTTTAAAATCTTTAAATGATTTATGTAATTTATTAGGGTAACAATTTTGTTAATTATTAAAATATATTTGAATTACAAATAAAAAGACAATGGGGTTTATGTATTGAACATTTTGTAAGTTAATAAACTGTATAAAGAAATAAGTTTCTTCTTCTTCTTCTTCTTCACCTTCTTATTTTTGAACAAGAAAATTCTTATTCATCATGAATAGTAACCAATTTCAAATGTGAATAAACAAAACAAAAAACAACCAACCCCTATGAAACATTGAATTGTGAATAGTTCATTTTGTATGTTTAAAACTACGCTTAATATACATTACTAATTTATCTTTATTTATTGTTAATGTTGAACCTTTATTTGTTAATGAATAAAGATTATTATTATTATTGTTATTATTATGATTATTACGTATAGAATTTGATTTTTTCAATAAGGTTTTATTTAATTTTGATGATGTACATTCATCATCATCATCACCATCATCATCATCGTCATCGCCATCATTATCATCCTCATTATCTGTTGACGAAATATGTAATTCTTTTGAAGTAATAAAGGATTCTAATAAATTTGATTCAGTTATATGTTCATATTTACATTGATCATTAGTTTGTTCATTATTATTATTGTTTATTTTAGATAAAATATTCAATGATGATTTTAATTGTAGATTCGAACTGTAATTTTTAAAATAAAATTTACAATGATTTCATTAGTACGGTTATAACAAATGAATCACTGTTTACAAAAATATTAAATACTTTAAATGTGAAATACGAATATTCATTAAGATTAGAACGGATAGTTTGACAAAAATTGGGCGTCGAACAGAGAGAATTCATTATATGTGAAAACTATATTTGAAATAATCTCAGCGATTGGAATTTAAATAATTCCAACGTTTCGTCCAGCTAACTCCGCCTGTAGCTCTTATAGGGTTGCTGCCGGTCCCAAGCCCGGGTAAAGGAGGAGGGTTGGGCATGGGGTTTGCGTCCCCATCCCGTAGAAAACTAACTCGCTAAAAAAACGCTTACCAGAAAAAATAATCCAAACCATTTTAACTCTGCCCTAGGAGTTATAAGGTCTTCATTTAGAAGAATTATGACGCTTCATGGTGAAAGCCGAGTTCTTTCGGAAGCCACGAGGACGATGCCCCTTCTAACAACCAGAGCAAAAATTTTTATAGGTATATGGAACGTTCGAACAATGTGGGAAACCGGGAAGACCAGTCAAATAGCAATGGAAATGAGGAGATACAACTTAGCAGTACTGGGAATCAGCGAAACCCACTGGACCCAAACTGGACAGAAAAGGCTAGCTACGGGAGAGATGCTGCTATACTCCGGTCACGAAGAGGACAATGCTCCACACACTCAGGGAGTCGCTCTTATGCTGTCCAAAGTAGCACGAAATGCACTTGTAGGATGGGAATCTCACGGATCCAGAATCATCAAAGCATCATTCAAAACAAAGAAGGAGGGGATCTTAATGAATATTATCCAATGTTATGCACCCACCAATGATAGCAACGACGACATTAAAGATCAGTTCTACGAGCGGCTACAGTCAATCATTGAGAAAAGCCCAAGACAGGACCTAACTATTCTGATGGGAGATCTAAATGCCAAAGTCGGAATAGACAACACTGGATATGAAGATATTATTGGACGACATGGACTGGGAGAAAGAAACGAAAATGGAGAAAGATTTGCAAATCTATCTGCATTCAACAAATTGGTCATAGGAGGCACAATATTTCCACACAAGCGTATACACAAGGCTACATGGATCTCACCGGACCACACTACAGAGAACCAAATAGATCATATTTGCATCAACAAGAAATTCCGAAGGACAATGGAAGATGTGAGAAGCAGGAGAAATGCTGACGTAGCTTCAGATCACCACCTAGTTGTAGCCAATTTGAAACTGAAGCTAAAAAAGAACTGGACAAGTGGACAAACAGCAATACAAAGGTTCAATACAGCCTTCCTTCGAGATACTGTCAAACTCAATGAATTCAAGATAGCTCTCAACAACAGGTTCCAAGCCTTACAAGATCTACTGAAAGAAGAAGAAACTACTATGGAGGACAACTGGAAAGGCATCAAGGAAGCATTAACTTCAACGTGTCAAGAGGTTCTCGGTCTAAAGAAATACCATCATAAGGAATGGATCTCTACAGAAACACTGGACAAGATCAAAGAAAGGAAGAACAAGAAGGCAGCAATAAACAACAGCCGAACACGAGCAGGAAAAGTCCAAGCGCAAGCAGAATACATAGAAGCAAACAAACAAGCGAAGAGGAGCATTAGAGCCGACAAGAAGAAATACGTGGAAGAACTAGCAACGACGGCAGAAAAAGCTGCAAGAGAAGGAAATATGAAACATCTTTACGATACAACGAAGAAACTATCAGGGAAATACAGTAAACCAGAGAGACCGGTCAAGGACAAAGAAGGCAAGCCAATCACCGAAATTCAACAACAGCGTAACAGATGGGTAGAATACTTCGAGGAACTCCTGAATAGGCCGGCTTCAACGAATCCACCGGACATCGAAGCAGCACACATAGATCTTCCTATACATGTCAACCCACCAACTACGGAAGAAATTAGAATGGCCGTCAGACAAATCAAGAACGGGTAAGCAGCAGGACCCGACAACATACCAGCTGAAGCACTGAAATCAGACATCGAAGCAACCACAAGCATGCTTTATCTTCTATTCAAAAGATTTGGGAGGAAGAACAAGTGCCGATGGACTGGAAAGAAGGACACCTCGTCAAGATTCCAAAGAAAGGAGATCTGAGCAAATGCGAAAACTACAGAGGCATTACACTACTGTCAATACCAGGGAAAGTCTTCAACAGAGTGTTGCTGAACCGGATGAAGGATGCAGTAGACGCCCAACTTCGAGATCAACAAGCTGGATTCCGTAAGGATCGGTCGTGCACAGACCAAATTGCAACACTACGGATCATCGTCGAACAATCAGTTGAGTGGAACTCATCACTATACATCAACTTCATTGATTATGAAAAGGCATTTGACAGTGTAGATAGGAGGACATTATGGAAACTTCTTCGACACTACGGAGTTCCTGAGAAGATTGTCAATATTATCCGGAACTCATACGACGGACTACAGTGCAAAGTAGTGCATGGAGGACAGCTGACAGATGCATTCCAAGTAAGGACCGGAGTCAGACAAGGCTGTTTACTCTCTCCCTTCCTCTTTCTTCTGGTGGTCGACTGGATTATGAAGACCTCAACATCTGAAGGAAAACACGGAATACAATGGACAGCTCAGAATCAATTAGACGATTTGGACTTCGCAGATGACCTAGCCCTCCTATCACGTACACACGAACAGATGCAGATGAAGACAGCCAGTGTAGCAGCAGTCTCTGCATCAGTAGGCCTCAGCATACACAAAGGGAAAACCAAGGTCCTCAAATTCAAAGCGGAAAACAGCAATCCAATCACTGTTGATGGCGAAACTCTGGAAGATGTAGAGTCTTTCACATACCTGGGAAGCATCATCGACGAACAAGGAGGATCCGATGCAGACGTAAAGGCGAGAATCGGGAAAGCAAGGGTCGCATTCCTACAATTGAAGAACATATGGAACTCAAAACAACTTTCAACCAATATCAAAGCGAGAATCTTCAATACGAACGTCAAGATGGTTCCACTGTATGGAGCTGAAACTTGGAGAACTACAACAACTATCATCAAGAAGGTACAAGTATTTATAAATAGCTGTCTACATAAGATACTCAACATTGATTGGCCGGATACCATCAGCAACAGCCTTCTGTGGGAGAGAACAAACCAACTTCCAGCTGAAGAAGAAATTAGGAAAAGACGATGGAAATGGATAGGACATACATTACGCAAATCATCAAACTGCATTACGAGGCAAGCCCTAACTTGGAATCCTGAAGGGAAGCGAAAAAGAGGAAGGCCAAAGAACATATTGCGTCGGATAATAGAAGCAGATGTGAAAACGATGAATTACAACTGGACGGAGCTAGAAAGGATTGCCCAGGACAGGGTTGGATGGCGAATGCTGGTGAGCGGCCTATGCTCCTTCACGAGGAGTAACAGGCGTAAGTAAGTAAGTTTCGTCCAGCTAACTTGTCTGAACTTCTTCAGGGTAATAATCAAAATCAAAATGATCTTATAAACTGTTTACACTGTATTTGATGAACGTATTATCATACATATATATTAAGAATTCAGCTGCTTTTGTGGAGAAAGCTATATTGGGCACACTACCAGGCAACTGAATCAAAGAGTTAGTGAACACCTCCCTTGGTGGTTAGTAAAAGGTAACGTCAAGACAATACTCAGCTCGGTTCTATCACACTTGATCTATAGCAGTCATGTAGTGGACAGAAACAAGTCATTTGAAGTTATTTATCGTACTCCCACTAGTTTTCCTAACGGTGTTCGATCTCGTCTCTTACACATAGCAGAAGCTATAGGAATTCGAGCCAACAAGCCAAGTCTTTGTGTTCAGAAGAAATTTGCAACATCTTTATCTCTCCTTTGGCCTTAATAAATGAATTTATTTATCATTTTTTCGAAATTTTTCTTCGTTTATTATTATTTTTCACCCTCTCCTACCATTTTATTTCATTTTCTCTCAAATATACGTTTCACGGTTCAATTATCTGAACACTTCTTATTAGGTCATCTTATAGTTTTATAAATGTTATCTCACTGTATATGTTTTTTCTAATCACTGACCTATTTCCGATTATTTAACACTGCTAGTATAGGGGTTGTGGAGATTATTAAGTTTTAGATTGAGATCATGAATCGATTGATGTTAGACCACCTTTGGAAACCTGGAAGCACTGGACGGTCATTTCGTCCTATTGTGGGACTCCTCAGCAGTGTGCATCCATGATCTCAGTCAAAAACTTGATAATCTCCACAACCCCAATACTAGTAATTAACATGTGCTCACTAGTGACTAGCTTCGTGAGAGAATTCTCGGAGTTCTAGTGAGAAGCTGTCACCAGTGGAGCTAATCCATGTCGGGTAGAGACAGTTATCTACCTCAGTACAATGGGAGATGGTCGCGCAATTTCGTGGATTGGTTGATGTTAGACACTATCACCATTCGATGCCGGCTCAGTGGTCGAGCAAGTTAAGCGTTCGCACGCGAGACTGTAGGCCCTGGGTTCGAATCCGGGATCGTGGACGCGCACTGCTGAGGAGTCTCACAATAGAACGAAACGGCCGTCCACTGCTTCTAGGTTTCCAAAGGTGGTCTAACATCAACCGGTTCATGATCTCAAGAAGATATCTAACATTGACTTGAGCCTTTATTATTCTTATCAAAACTAATGCACCTGTTCTCATACTATCAATTTATACTTTTCACTTATTATATAATTGTTTTCATCATTATCATTGACTCACAAACTACCTTGATTGGTTTAATAATTTCGTATATGCATATATATATATTAGTTTGTATCGAGTAGTGATCTCAGTCAGACAATTAGGGGATATTAGACGGTTGTTTTGTCATAGTTTGATACTCTTGAGAAGTATACATCCATGCTATCACCAGGGTTTGAATTTAGAATGATCAGGTTTTATCAGGAACATAAAACCATAGAGTAGGAGTTAGTAATGGTTGCTCTGCTGAAATTATTCTGTAGGATTACCTATCTAAGTAGTGAATATAAACACCTTATCCAAAGAATAAGTAATTTCGTCCATTATACTAAGATATCAGAAATTACGTTTCAGCTAAATCAATTAATATATATATATATATATATATATATATATATATATATATATATATATATATATATATATATATATTAATATATATAATATATATAATCTATTAGGTGAATGAGTTCAGATATATGCTAACTTATTTAACGGGATGATATTATTATCTGGATATATATATATGAGTCTAAGGGTTTCTTAGTTTACTCAAATTTTTCAGTAACATCATTTGCACGTATTTGGAATTCATCCACATATCACACGGACTGACTCCTAAAGTTACAATAGTGTTAATTCAATGGTTAACTGAAATTTACCACCTACATGTAAAAAGATAATGAACTAGCCTGATAGACTGATGCTTACTTTGTCTCACCTCGAGTCAGTTGGTAAATACGTGGTGGCTTTTTTGAAATTTCCTAATTCATTCAAATCACTGGTTTGTTCTATGCTTCTTAATTTAGAAAGTTCATTGGTTATGTTGTGATCTGTTAATTCACCAATTCCTAAAGTTAGTTCAGTAGATGTATGTTCATGATTATTCATTTTATGATCTAGTTGTGTTGTCGCACTGTTTATACGTTTCGGAGGTTGTGGTAATAATTTAACAAGGGATGAAGTGCCATTTCTTTCATTTGTGACTGAAATGGCATCTTTGTTTTGATGTTCAATTCCTTTGGAGTTTTGTTGTTGTGTTTGTGCGCAGTTCGTATTCAAATTTATTGTTTGAAAACAATTATTTTGTGAACAAGTTTGATTCATCAACTGACTACTAGAAACTGTCGTTTCACAAGCCATAGCTTCTAATGGACTATTTACTGCGCTGACTGAACGCGGCAAACCTGTTATACCAAATATTTGATCTTGAATACTAAGATTACTGCCTCCTTTCATTGACCAAGAATGTTTTAATGTTTTGAATTTATCTTGCAACTCAGATACCTGACAAAATAACAAAGTTAACATTAAAAATTGTGACAACTGATGAATAGAATATATCAAACAAATGTTCTGTTTTCTGTGAGTGACGTAACTAGTACAAAGTGTACTGTTTAACACAAGTAAACAATTTACTTGTTACGAAACTGGCAAGTCAAAGGTTATTATTAATGAATAATCATGAGTTGCTAGATGAGACCTTCTTATTAATGAAGCATGTATAAATATATGCGATAAGAGTCCTCCCATATTCAAATTAAAATGACTGAGTACTAAAACTGATAAAAAGCAAACTATTCATGTCGATCTACAGAATATTCATAGGGCATAAATTTAAAAACTAGTCAAACCATTTCCTGATACATCTGTAGGAATGATAGATGAATACTAGTAATTCATCTCAGAATTGGTTCCAATTGTAAGATTACCTGGAAGTCTCCAACTACTATAAATTTACCTCTGTATTCGCTCACACATATACATTAGCCTCTCTGCTACAATTCACTCGATGTGCTTGTGACGTCGTTATCTGTGCTATCTGCTACTAAACTGTAGTAGTCACTTCTTATAGCCTTCTGATTTCAAACACCGTTCGGATTTATATAATAATGGTTATTAAGATGATTGATTAATGAAGCTAAGCCACCACAATTTTACAAACCTGGATTTTATAGTGTAGTTGAATAAATTAAAGAGTTATTTATTAATGCATAAAGGTATTAGAAGATCAATATCACATATCCAAATGGAAGAGTCTATTAAGTTTAATTACATCCTTGTCATACTGTACGAATGTATGATCACAACAAATTTTAATTAAAATCCTACATGTAGTTAATTCGAACCCATTTTGTAATTATTCGTTTTAAATATTACAGTTGTAAGCAATTGACGATAATCAAGCTGAATAAAATGAATTCATGTTATTCTGCTGAAATCTTTGTTTTTTTTTCTCTCTTCAATATGATAAAGGGAACTATGCGTGTGAAACCAGTTTTAATATAAGAATTTGACTTGAAATAGGAAGAATCTACACAGAATCTCGATAAGTTTATAAATCATATAACAACTCTTGAGTCGCTTAAATACAATTCTTTCTTTTAATATTATACTTTTATCACTAAAGTTCTTTAAATGGTTCATTCTCTCTGAAAGTAATAATGAATTCAAATAGTAAATTCTATTACAGATAACTTAATACATGCTAATAATGTTTTTTATTCATATAGTTCAGATCTAGAGTAGCACTACTGTGATGTGGGTTACTTATATCCACACATGTAGTATATAACGGTGATCAAGCATAGAATGTAATTCAGTAGAACGTCGATGAGAAAAAAAACGGGAACAGAACGTAATCGGTATGAAAACGCATGAACAATGAAATCTGAGACAATGGATTGATGTTTGTAACAGGAACAATCAAGTTTGAGATGATGGATTAATACTTTGCAAATTAACGATTTACTATATAGTTCTCAGATTTTAGTGAGATGCTCTGTAATTTCGTGTTCAAATACATTTGATTTGTCTCCACTAGTGTTCTTGTTCACTACACTACATTTATGAAGAGTTTTGGAAAAAATGTTCAAAAGAGAATGTAATAAATAATAACAAAAAATCAATAAATTTTCAAAGGTCTATTCCTTTTTCAATGATTTTGAATTCTTACCTCTTTTCTGTTGGCTAATTGTAGAAATCCATCATCTTCTAAATTAGTTGTCCCTTTAGAAGCAATATGGAAATTATTGGAATTTAAAATTTTACAATTTTCATTAAATGAAGATGGAATATTTGGTTTATTTGTTAAGTATGTTGAATAAGGTGTATTAAATTGAGGTTTTATTGTATTCATTTCATCTATGGTTCCTGTTAAAGCTGAAATTGATCGAGGCATTCGAAATGGATTAGAATTGCTTAAAGGTTTATAATTTGTTTCATTATTTGGATTGACTGAATGATTCCATCCAGAAAATGATAATGAAGTAAGGACATTTTGATCGGTTATTGATTTATTACCAGACTGTACACTGAATGATGCTGAATTAGGTAATAATCGACGATCTGAAATACACTACAAAATAAAAAGATACATATACACTAGTATAGTAATAAAAATTCATACATTTTTATGTCATTCAAAACGATTCCATGCAAAAATTAGTATTTTCTTAATGTTTTTGATTGAGATTATGAACCGATTAATGTTGGGCCACCTTTGGAAACCTGGAAGAAGTGGACGGCCGTTTCGTCCTATTGTGGGACTCCTCAGCAGTGCGCATCCACGGTCCCGCTCGCGGGACTCGAACTCAGGGCTTACAGTCTCGCGCGCGAACGCTTAACCTACTGGACTACTGAGCCGTCTTATGTGTTTTATGTTCAATAAATGAGCAGACTGTAAAACTTGACGAAACAGATTATGACGGACTTATTTGTTTTATATATTCTACATTTCTGACATTTATTTGCGCTCCATTTTCCTTTGTTTGAAACATTCTACATAGTCCTGAGTAATCAGGCTTCCCATCTGTCTGCCGTTTTACAAAGTTTCATCAACCAAAAATGGCTTGCTTAAGAGTATGCACAAACGATTCCTTTCCAAATTGATTTCATCACCAATTATATGGACATTTAATCAATAGTCAGAAAACACAAAAGACTACAAACATTCGATGTTTTCATCAACACACAATGCTGATGATCGTTCAGGACTTGCCACAGCTTTTCAGTTTTAATGGCTCTGACTGAGGTGATTGACTAACCTCGAGAAGAGCTATTTTCTTCATCATGTTATTCACAATAAATAGACCTAAATATTTCATAGATTCCCTGAGTTTATACTTTTTCATCGAGTATTAGATCTCAGGTCACTAACCTTGTAGATTATATTTTAAGAATTGTATTTCATTTTAAATTTAATTCATGCTCTTCAATGAGTTAAGAGTAACTACTAATGTTATACACTAACTATAATAAAAGTTAATTATAACAAGTTTTGCTTTTCCTGCACAATAAACATACTATTCAATCAATTGTATGAAACAAAATTACATTTCTTTGATGTATGGACGAGAATGATAATAGCTGGTTGTTTGCTTAGTCAGACATATATATAGTCTGACAAGTGTGTCAGATGAGTTATATATTCCCCTATCCTTATTACTATTATTATTGATTGTTCATTGTTGTTGAATGGTGTTGGGTTTTTGGTGTGAAAATATATTTAAGGTTCTAGTCAGGCTAATCACGTGTTCTTGATCTGAATTGTGTTGACGTCTTGTAGAATAGACACTGGAAGGGAATCTAGTGTATATATTCATCTAAGGTAAATAAACGTCCCATACGTGTAATCATTGGAAAACCAATCGTTACAACCTTCTCTTTTGTGAAATAAAATCATTGTTTATTTGAAGTAAACATTTATAGAATACTTACTTTATCATTTACAGTAGAAAATAATCTACTTTGATCCATTGATATATTTACATTATTATTATTAATATTGTTTGTATTTGTTGATTGATTAATAATTGGATTATTATGTTCCATTTTATTAGATGTTAATAATTCTAAACGTTCTAAACGATCAGACATTTGATTTAACCATGTACGTAAATCCCAATTTTGACGGACAAGTTGCTTAATGCAATGCTTGATTTGATAATAATAATAATAATAATAATAATAATAATAATAATAATAATAGTAATAATAAAGATTTATTTTATTAGTTAAGTTAATGAAAAATAAGTCTATTCTTTCTTTTAAAAAATATTTACTTGTCACCCCAAAATGAAACACAGATATCGTATAAGGATGAAATTAAATCAAATATTTGCAATAGTTGAGATCATGAGTCAATTGAAGCTAGACCACTATGGAAAACCTGGAAGTATTGGACGGCTGTTTCGTTCTATCGTGAAACTCCTCAGCAATGCTCATCCACGACCCCGCCTCCTGAGATTCGAACTCTAGGATGTACCTCTTGAATCCAGTCACTAATGAGCATATGCTCTGTGCTCTGTTCTACTACAATCTCCGCAAAACCCCTTTTGATACTAAACAAGTATTTGCATTTTAAAGTCAATGTGATTAAAACGATATCTTTTGAGCAATGTTAAAATGATCATGCAACGACTATCTACTTGATAGGGTTGTATATTCGTGTGAAAAAAACTAGGATTAGGATTTACAGTTGAATATTAGGGTTAGGAATTAGAGTGAGACTATAATTTATGGATGACCTTTGAGGGACGCCGAAGTGACCTTGAGAGTGTTCATTTAATAACTAGGACCAAATGAGGGTTATAAACATGTGTGAGAAATTTGAATCGTGATTTACAAATGATGGTTAGGGTTAAGAATTAGATTTAAGGTTTTCATCACGAACTGACATCAGCTATAATGCTAAAACTCTATTTAGCCAAATGGATGGGTGAATTTCTCACTAAAATCCGAGACCCGTTATCTTATTCCTGATTGGTTTGTCCATAAGTTATAGTCTCGGCGATTGAATTCAAAGTGAAAGCCTTACTTTTCTAGCATAAGACCAGAATTCAGTGGTGTTCTAACTGTGAGCCTTGTGCCCTATTAATATATAACGTAACGATACCGCCGATTAGAGGACAGTGATTTATCGACCGCACCAATGACGCGTATCCTGTACGAGCACTCTAGGGTCCCTATCAGTCCTTCTTCTTGCCTAGCCCTGTCTGTTGAGTCCAGAACACCAACATCAGCCTCTGAGATATAAGTCATTTATTTCAAACATACTGGTTTCATATACAAACAACAAAATAGAAAACAACATTTGTACAAGATCTGGCGAAAAGTAACTGTGAATGTAGGAGACTGTAATCAATGGACTGGGCATAACTCAGAAATGGCAAATCTTATAATAATAGCCTATAGGTCAAAATAAGGTTTATAATAAGAGGAACATAAATATGTATAGTTTAGTCACTTAACAACTATGTAATAAAAATATATATGTAGTATTTATCCATAAATGGATACCAACAGTTAGCATTTATTATTCTCGTCGGGATATATCAAATGGTCCATATCTGTAGCCTAAAATAATTCGCAATATAGCACAACTGTGAAACAAAACAAAACAGAATGTAAATGTGACATAAACTCTAGTCGGTAAGATCAATTTTCAAATGGGAATTTTTCTCACATTTCACTATTTAAAACTTTAACTAGTACAATTCACACGATTGTACGTAATCAAACAGTCGGATGACATAGACTAATATTTACGTTCTAGTGAGGCTAATCACGTGTTCTTGATCTGAGTTGTGTTGACGTCTTGTAGAATAGACACTGGAAGGGAATCTTGTGTAGATACTCGTCTAAGGTAGATCAAGGTCTAACTAACTGACATAAAATCATACTTAATATTTGTTAGTTTATTTTGATACCACTGCCTTAGAAATCTGTTTTTTAATTATTCAATTTTAGATCAATTAAGGTGACAAATTCACGTAACAAGATTCATTATTAAACATTAAGGTGTTGTAATTAATTTTATAATATTCTGTATTTGTTTAGCATATATTAAAAGTGTTTTCCTACACTGGTTACACTCAAGTTTTCATTATGGAAGAAAACAAACCAACAATTATTGTTACAGGGATTCTGTGGTGATTGTTGGATTTTCATTACTTAAATCATGGACTGTGATTTCAGTTAGACAACTAACAAAGTTAAGAATCACTAAACAGTCGTTCGCTCTTATTATGGGACTCTTCAATAATGAGAATCTATGATCCTATGGTGGGTCGAAATTCAATTCATCGAGTCGTCAGTTCATGATATCAGCCAACCATGTTTCAGTGTCATTGGTAGGTATCTCTCTCACATCTGACATAGTGGAACTTCACTGGTATTACATTCTCTCTTCATTTACAGGAATTACATTTGAAGACTAAGTGCTCACAGTGAGACCGAAAGGTCCTGGTTGGATCCTTGATATGATCATGAGTGTGTACTTCTGGACAATCCCATATTAGAATGAACTAGTCCAGTACTCCCTATTTCTCAGTGTTTTTCTAATTTAGGTCAGTCCTTGATGTGAACCATAACAAAATCAAAGCTTTTTTCTAAGACTTTTGTCATGGTAGTTAAATATATCAGATGATATGTTTGCATAACCCTAATTGACTTGAATGTGCGTTACAAACTCATTTGTTTACTTTATTATGAATATTTATTTTTTAGAGGTCTTGTTAGCAATTCTAATGAATTAAATCAATAAACACAGCTCAAATAAGGCTAAAAAGAATAATATGATCAAAGTAGATCAGGTTTTTATAAGTTATTAACTGCATAGATATCAGAAACTAAAGGGTTTTACTTGATGTAAGCTGGTATCCACAGAAGAATTAGGAAGTATTGGTTTATTTGACTGATATTGACAAAGGCTGTTAATATTTGTCATTTCAGAGAATACTGTACCAATTGATTTTTGGTCAGTGGATAATGTTTCTGGCAAGGCACTGTCAGTTAATAGAGTGTTCGATAAATTATTTGGACTTTGTAAAGAACCTGTAAATTGAAGAAAGGAAACAACAGTTAAAAAATTACTGATTTTTTAAATCAGATAATCAATATTTTAGAAATCAAACTGATGAGTGAAATCAATGTTTTGATTATAAATATTCATAACCAAGAGCCATCTCTAGGATTCCTTTTTTACCGATTGTTGACAAGTATATTTTACAATTCGGGAGTTCGTAAACGCTGACTATTACTTTGTTTGCACATTAATAAAATACACTCTAGGTGATTTATGAAGATCTCGGTGAAGCTCACTCATATGAAAAGTGAGTCATCACCTATGAGATTGATTGATCATCTCACCATGTCTCCAATCAAATCAAGTTAAAGATGTGTATCATCCTTATCTCTACGTGAGTTTGAATATGTTTAAATTTCCCAGGCACTTTAATCAACTTATTCAACAAAGAGTATTGTTTGTATCAGTAACAACTTGCCTACTTTTTCCCCATTTATTTCCATACTTGTTTTAACATATGTGGTTGATTGCGTGTTACGGTACTCATAAACACTCCTATTACTACCTTAAAGGATAGTTACTTAACTCACTTGATGACTCATCCGTACTCTTGGTACATGTGCTAGGAGTTCATTAGCATTGTTATTTATGTTCTTATTCTCACCTTCCTCTTAAACTCGCTCTGTACTGTGCTAAAATAAACTAATCCCCTCTTCACATTTGCCTTCTGAAGATTATACAACCTTAGAAATCATCAAAGCGATCAATATACGCAGAATGGAAGTTATCTTGAGGATATAACACTACAAATGAGCATCACATAATATCATTTAGGTTGTTCAGGGATTTATAACTAATCATGAAACTTGCATATTTTCGGTTCAATCTGTAAAGACGTCATGTTGTTAGACTTATAAGGGGTCCTAATCTAGATCGAATAGTTGTCTAGTTTTTCCTGGGTTTAAACGGTAACTCTATAACGAATGTCACTCACAAACTAAAGCAGCTTCACTAAAATCCTCCAACCAAGCATACTTTGACTTGCAAATAAAGTATAATCTACGCTTGAGATATAATTGCTTTACTCAAGTGAAACGATAAATTCTCAATATCATATTGGTACAACAAAGTACTAATAGGTAGGCTAAAAGAAACTAAATGACAAACGAAAGTCGCATAATACGACCTATCAGAGTTTCATTTAAAGTTCTCGAAATACATTCTACATCTCATGTAGAATACAAATGTACAATACAAATTTAAAAAGGTAGAATGAAATGCCATGTTTAAATTTAGCATTATTATCTTCCAGCTAACTAACTAACTGTCTCTTTACCTTATTTAACTAAACCGTATATTAATCAGAAGTCTTCGCCACAGATATTGCTGGGATATCAAGAGTGAAGCTTAAGATTAGGAACAGTATTTACAAGTGATCTCCATGGTTGGATAATGGTCTTCAGTATACCTTAATGCACATCTTTAGATATCAGTACTGCGTGTATTGTATTTTCATAGATTACTTAGGAAAAAAAAGTCACATATAAAAGGCTGTCGAACATCGTTAATCCAGTCATGTTAGTCTAAATCAGAGCTCTCAGTACTGAAGCATTATCTACTTGCTCTTCAGTAGCTAGAATAGCCTCAAAATGGTACTATTTACCCCGATGATTCCATTGAGTCACAATAATTTTTAAGTGGAGATGGATGGTGAATAGCAATGGAATCCAAGACGCGCTTTTCATTCTATTTAAGAATGAGTCTTGGCTTCGAGTTCCAGAGTGAATATCAACTCAGATACAGGGATATTGAATTGGCGAGTCCCAAATAGGATATAACGCACTTCCTGGATTCCATTGTTAGCGATCATCCATCTCCTCTTATAAACATAGATTCATTTTAAAATTTAATATACCTTGACTAATCAATGCTTGAATGTAGAATCAACAAGTACTCAACACAAAAAGTACAACATAATCAGTGACAAAAAGAACTTTAAACACTCCAAAATACGTTTAAAATTTTTAATTTCAATTTACTTTCGTTGAGCAAATCTCTGGCAACATTTGTATCTAATGATCTACTTTGATGCATTCTCCTTCCTTGTTCTAACAATAATGACGTTGAAGCAGTATTTCCGGTAAATAATGATAATAATTCTTTTGTGAATAAATCTGTTTTCTCATTTCTGTCCTCACCAGTTTGCAACATCCATACCAAATCACGAGTTGTGATACTTGTCTTTAATTTAGTACTTTTATGTGAACTAGTAGGTCGTTTATGATGTTTATGATGTTCATGTCTATTACGAACTTGTATTTTTTCTTTAGAACATACTGAACTAAGTGAACTAGCATGTGATATAGAATGATCTGATAATATACGACTGTTAACAGATGAATTTGATGTTGCTGTTTGTCTAGAAGATTTTGAAGTTTCTGAATTCTCTCTTGAATGACTATGAACACATGGAGATGATTCAGTTTCTGAACCACTTGAAAATTTAGATGTATGCTTTTTTCTGTATGATTTTTGTTGATGTATAGTAGATTTAGACTTATGACAAGATTTTTCTTGTTGGCTATTTTTGCTTTGTACACAATTATTTAAAGATTTATTTATATCATGATCAATATCGATCAGTTCAATAGATTCACTAATCAGTTCTACTGGTTCTATATCAACCAACGTATTATCAATTTTGTTTAAATCATCTAAAAGATCTTTTGTTTTATGATATTTATGTGATTTCTTGATTTCATCTTCTTTGTTTACTTTTTCAATATCATCCCCATTATCATCACCATCATCGTTTGTAGTAGAATCATGAGTATTTTTCTTATCTCTATGTTTTTCTAATTTACGTGTTTGTGATGTAGAATTACGATCGTTTTTCAAATTATTCGACTTTTCTTGTTTACCTGTTTTATGTTGTTTAAGTTTATGTCTTGATTTTGTTTTATGTTTGTTTAAATCACCATTATGTTTTGTTGATTTATTTGAATCATCTAATTTATTATTATCAATATTGTTCACAGTAGTATTAGTTATTTTTTTGTCAGATTTTTCGATTTTCTCTTGATCAGATTCACCATTTTCATCAATATTATTATCATTATTATTGCTTTCGGTTGTTTCTAGTTGTTGGCCTTGTTTTTGTAGAGCAATTCGATGACATACATCAAATGCTTGACCAACTGTTCTGACTATTCGCATAGCTTGTAACTAATGGGAATGAAATATATATATATATATATATATATATATATATATATACTCAAGAGATTGTTCAAATCGAAAGAGTTCATGTTTACTAATAAAGGCAAACATACATTTGTACGAATATTCGTCAAGATTAGAACAAACAGTTTTATAAAAATTGGGCGTCGAGTATAGAGAAGTCATTATATGCGAAAATTATATTTGAAATAATCTCAGCGATTGGAATTTAAATAATCTCAACGTTTCGTCTAGCAAACGTTTCTGAACATACATTATTATAAATTAACCAAAATAGAGAATATAGACCGTTATCTTTTGACTGAATTGTTCTAGTGTGTTGATCTAATTGTGAGACGAGTTCAGGTTGATGAATACGCATTACCAACGTGTTCGAAAGTAAGTTGAAGCAACAGTTTAATACTGCACAATTTTTATAAACTCTTTCATTAATCTCAGTCTTTGATGTATATGTACTATTCTTAAATATTCATTATTTCTGTCGATTCATTTCAGTCATCATATATACAGTGTTCATGAGCATTGAGAATCAGAATTTATATTCCGCTACTTTCCTGTTGTTTTTTACATCTTAATATACTTGTGTAGGTGTTCTATTTCTCTCTTTGACATACTATTTGGTGTTTTTATTGGATTGGTTGATCTATAAAGTTATTTGGTTTTTTAACTAAACACTCAAAAGTTAATTTCATTATCCGGTATACACTTTCCATTTCAAAAATATATTGTATTTCTGTTTGTTAGTCAAATCTTTCATCATTCATAATATAATCTATTAGTAATGTACATTATCTTTTATCAGTGTTTCAAATCATTCTTATGAATGTATATTAAAAAAAGATGTCAAAAATCTATCCATATAACATTTACTGTTGTTAATATGGAAGCCCATCAAGGTTGTTCAATTCAAAGTCAGTTTCTACAGCTAAATGAAATCAGCTGAAGAGCTCATGAAAACACCAGGAAATACATGATATTCAATTTATTCTAGTTTGGAAATCTTTATTAGTTTGAATTTATAACAATTCACTGGGGGCGAAATCATAGCCTTCCGATCTCATAATAATCATAATAGCTTAGGATTATTTATTTTTCTTAACATTTATCTATTACAGGTTGAAATCATGAGTCAATTGAAGCTAGACCACCATAGAAAACCTGGAAGCACTGGACGGCTGTTTCGTCCTAATATGGGACTCCTCAGCAGTGCGCACTCACGATCCCGCACCCCGCGAGGTTCGAATCCAGGACCTATCAGTCTTGCGCGTGAGTGCTTAACCACTAGACCACTGAACCGGTCGGCATTCAATAGTGTTAATGTCTTACTTCAACCAATCGACGAAGTTGCGCCACCGTACACCATTGTCTTCAGTGAGTTGATATCTCAAAACAGACCTAGTTGAACTCCACTAGTAACGACTTTTCACTAGAACTCCGGGAGTATCTCTTGAAATCAGTCACTAGTGAACAGGTTTTCCATGGTGGTCTAGCTTCAATTGACTCATGATTTCAATCTGTGAAATTTCTAAAAACTCCACAAACCCCTACTGATATTTATCTATTAACAATATTGTTTGACCATTGTTTATTTCTGCTATCGGATGATATCTGACTTATTTAAAATAAGAATATGAGATATCTGAATAAACTTCCCTATTTTTAACCATAAAAGTCATACAATTTTCGTTTCAAATTATAAAATTGTTACATAAAGTTGTTTTAATCAATAGGATACTTAGATTCACAAAGTCAACGTTTTATCACTTTGTAACTAAAATTGATTTTCTGAATTTTCTGAGGAGAAGAATGTAAAATTCTTATTGACTATGAGAAAATTTAAGATCAGTATGATGAATGTTATTTTGTAGACAATAAGACAGAAAGTTATTCAAATTCATTTGGTATTGTTTACTTGAATCTTCTCATTGATGTTTAGGACTTTAATCGATCAGTCTCTTATTGGTATATGTGCATGTTGTGCAGACTGCCTCGATATTGCCTTAATTCATAAGCATTGCAAGCAAAGATAGGTAGTGGTTAAAATTAGTTAACCGCTAAAAACTATAAACTACTGAGTAGTTGCATCTTTCTAGTGTAACTCATCTGAGTTCGATTTTTGATGAAGTCAGCGTATACACATGTCTGAATGCCACACTAGGACATAATAGATTTTCTAGTGCTTCCCAGTTTTCGACGAGCTTTAATTATTACGTGATGTGACTCATCTACAAATAGAATGATTGTTGTAAACTTCTCATTTTAAAAATAATACAATTATCAGTAAGGGGATTTATGGAGATTGTAATATTTCTAACAGTTGAGGTTAAGCATTCACGCACAAGACCGAAGGTCTTGGCTTTCAATCCCGTGTGCTCGATCGTGAGTGTACACTGTTGAAGAGTCCCATACTAAGACGAACCGGTCACCCAGTGCTACCAGTTTTTTAATGATAATCTGGCACAGATCGGCTCGTGAATTCAACTGTTAATAATAACATTGTTTATTTACTAGAGAAAAATATTTGTCATCACTTACTTTTTTGTAAGCTTTAAATACATTGCATCTAAAAACGCTTGTCCTACTGTCTCTCGCTATATAGCTGAATATCTTCAAATCTTGTGAGTCGTGTGATACATAGAAGATTCTATAGTAAAATAAAATGAATTTTGTAGAATTTTAGTAAACATTCAATAATTCTATAAGTAACAAATTGTATTAAGTAGTAACGTCTGCTTATAGAATCATTTATAAGCTAAATCGTTCTGGTAAAATCTTTATTGAGCAGAAAAATCAACTTATAATTGGATAATTACAAATTCATTAAAGCATCCCCATAATCAATAATAGATGATTCATAACATTTTGTCTCAAGTATGAAACTGTGGTCAACAACACTTTTTGAAGTAACGATGACATTCAAATATTTAGCCTGAATAATTCCGTTTTATGAAGTAAACATTACAGATTATTAACGCTTTTCAGGACCTCGATTTTAAATTCAATGTTTTAAAAAGGCTGCTTCAAACTTAGCAACTCAGCAAGTTGTCTTAAGTTTATTTTTGAAATTCATATGAACTACTCATAAGTAGACTTCACTCTAAAAATATATTAAAAGGATATTTATTCTTACCTGTATATCGGGTGATATAGCAAAAGATTGGATTGATGTATACAATCAAGCATAGATGTATCTCTTAATCCTAAGCCAAGTAATCCACTACCAGTAGCTGAAATTGCATCATAATCTCCAGTTACACCATTGGAATCTTTAACTGATGTTGTGTCAGTAGTTAAAATTTCACTGAATACTCGATTACCGGGGTTTTGTGAAGATGAAATAAATGTTCGTGATACTGGCCAACGAATTCCAAACTGAATAACCAAAAAAGAATATAGCTACAAAGTTAGTAGTGTTTATAAAGCATAATTATTTTTAAGCTGAATATTTTTGAGGTGAATATCAAAGTTATAAGACAAACTATAGGGAGATATTTCTCACCTCTTTGGACTATCAGATAAACGAACATGGCTTTTCGTTTAATAAAAATCCATAAAACCTTTCATTTTAAAAGTCTAATATCAATAGTATTCATCATTAAACTAATTATGCATTAAATTACATCATACATTTCGATTAGGCACAACTATTTGTCGCGGGATATCAGATTTAATGTAAGGGTTCCGTAGCCCCATATTATATTTCCACAATCGTGGTCGCATTTATTTTAAACTTATACGTAAACTTCAATGGATCATATCATATGTTGAACCAAAAGTCCGTTTGTTATATGAATAATAGAGGTATTGTAAAGGATAAGATCATGAATACATATTTTTCAAGGTTATCCACTCAAATCTATGGTAAAATAAAATATTAAACTGGGTAAAGTTTTGTAGTGTCAGTTGCTATGTTAAGCCCATATACCCTATTCTAGCTTCTGGACGGCCAATTTAACCACTGTTCCTGAGTCACGTTTTGACCTTGTTAATTGTTCGCTTACCAGTCTTGACTGTTTTTATATGAGTGCGTATGTGTGTACACTTCTTATTCTATTCATCACATGTCTGTAACTTATTTTTATTTGGCTATAAATAGTGATTAACGCTTGTCTAGATGGAGTTGGCTCACACGCATTCTTCACCGCGTGTCATCTCACTTTACTCTCTTTGCTTCCTTTGCTTTGTCCCTCTGATTTCCTGTCCAGATCAATGAGTGTACAAATATATGTATTCAAAATCTCATTATCGTATTCGACTTATTCAATTCTGTTATTCACCAACGCGATTTAAGTCGATGAAATATACGAGGATTGATGATATATATATATATATATATATATATATATATATATATATATATATATATTTCGATAGCAATCATTCAATAGCGATCAACGTATAATCCAATTGGAGTCAGATTTCGGGCCACTAAATTTCCACTAATGCATAAGCATTTTACAGAAATGTTTTCATTCAGTTTATGAAAACGATGATTACAATGTAAATTGTGGCCCGATTCCTTGGTTCAATATTATTAATATTAAATAATTCCTCTAGCGTCGGTGCTTAATTTAAAAAAAATTTCACATATTCTACTACTTGTACAAAACAAATTACTGGCTATTGTCGACATATATAAATATCCTAATTTATTCATGCTGTGATTACAAATTGTCTTAGGGCGGATAATTTTCAAATATATTTACAAATCGATACAATATCATTCTTCATTGGTTTGCTTATGTCACAAGAATAATACGTACTGTATGGTACTATCCTTTTCGAAGTCTGTTCTCTTACAATCGATGATCAACATGAGTTTTTTTAAAGCTTATTGCTATTACAAATTTGATTGATTCAATCATACAGTGCATTTTCAACCTTGATTATTTTTTACACATTAACAATTTCATTACCTAAATCTTTATATATTTCAAACCATCAACAATTCGAAAAAAGAACATTTACCCCTGTCGGATTATTGGAACTCAATCTACTTTACTAAAACAGTCATTGTAAAAACCTAAACAAACGAACAGATTACACTATCAAAACAAATCAACATTTTCATATCATATGATTTACTCATCTTTTTGTATTCTGACATCTTCCATTTGGCTGAATAGTTTTTTTTTTACAGAAAATGATTTTAGATGAATACAACTATCAAACTTTTCACTAAAATGGTTTTTTGCTTTGTTTTACATCAACGATAAATACCTCAGAATGATGTGGTCACAATGATATTATTTAAACGAATAGATCATTTAGTAACAAAGGATGGTGTTTTGTTTTAGAAATAACTAATATCATTATATAAATAGAAATAATGGATTCTTACTACAAATTATTAGCAATAATGAATTTATCTGCTTTTATTCAAGTTTTCGATCTTCTAGAATTACGAATCAGTAAATAATATAATAATGTTAGGTAGTTGGATGTAAGGCGAGGATTGGCAAAGCAAGGGCCGCATTCCTACAATTGAAGAACATATGGAACTCAAAACAACTTTCAACCAATATCAAAGTCACAATCTTCAATACGAACGTCAAGATGGTTCCACTGTATGGAGCTGAAACTTGGAGAACTACAACAACCACAATCAAGAAAGTACAAGTATTTATAAATAACTGTCTACGCAAGATACTCAACATCCATTGGCCGAATACCATCAGCAATAGCCTTCTGTGGGAGAGAACAAACCAACTTCCATCTGAAGAAGAAATTAGGAAAAGACGATGGAAATGGATAGGACATACATTACGCAAATCGTCAAACTGCATCACGAGGCAGACCCTAACTTGGAATCCTGAAGGGAAGCGAAAAAGAGGAAGGCCAAATAACACATTACATCTGGGAATAGAAGCATATATGAAAAAGATGAATAACAACTGGACGGAGCTAGAAAGGATTGCCCAGGACAGGGTTGGATGGCGAATGCTGGTGAGCGGCCTATGCTCCTTCACGAGGAGTAACAGGCGTAAGTAAGTACGTAAGTAAGTTGGATGTAGCCAACAGGAACCCAGGAGTTTAGATTTTATGCTGTTCAACACAAACCAATAAAGCGTACATTTAATCTTGCTGGGACTGATAATTTATTCCTACGTCGTTAATGTATATAATCTGAAACGTTACTACTGATTTATTCTAGCTACAACCGACCTCCTGTAACACTGAGAGATATTCACAACTGGTTAATCATTGAGTAATGACTAATTTTGTGTTTATCTAGTTCTTTATAGTTCATCAAGTTATTGTTTCTCTGAGTAAATTGTAAAGATTATTTTCTTAATGAATTCATATTAATTAAGAGATCATGGAAAATTAAGAAATACTGGATAGTAGTTTTAACCTAGTACAGAATTCATTAACAAGCCTTCACAAATACAAGAACTAGTACTCACTGCTCACTGATATTTAATAGTTTCCTAGTTGATATTAATTTATAATAAATCATAAATAATTTATTTATAATAAACAGTGTAATGCCTATGTGTTGAAAGTTTCGATTGAATCAGTTTATGTCTAATGTATTGAAAACACTAAGAAAAATGTTAGTGTCTATTTTAATTTAACACACTTATATACATTAAAAGACTAGTGAGATTCTAAAAAAGAAAGGTCATGTCAGTTCATTTTAATTATGTGTAAATGTGTTGATTGTAGCTTATAGCAAATGTTATAAAATAGCAAGTTGTAACTATGAAAAACACACAGTGAGAATGTTATAACAATTAAAAAACAGTAATAATAATAATAACATATGGTGTAGAACTGTGAATAAAGTAAGGAAGAGGGGAAAGCTTAAATAAAAGAATTAGACATAGGGTATTATTTATTTATGAATCTAAAACAATCATTTAATTTGAGTTAGATATTTTTATCATAGGTAGAGATAAATAATATTGTCAAATGTGTCCATTTCTTCTATAGTGTACAGAAGATATAGTGAAGAACTGTTTTATAAATTATTTGGAATTCGATTTAAAAGTTAAATTGTTTTTATCTGTTTTCCTGATATATCTGCAGTCAGTTAAGAATGAAAGTCTATGGTGACTTAAAGGATTTAATCACTATTTTATTTTACTTATACTGATGCAAGCTCACCAACACCCTAAGATTATACCTCATAAATATGATCTCAGTCATTTGAATTATGGGGGTAGTTAGATTGATGCACACAATGAAGACAATGATAGATGGCCGAGCAATATCGTGGATTGGTTGAAGTTAGACATTAATACCGTCCCACACTAGACCGAAACGGTTGTCCAGTGATTCCAAATTTCCCATGGTGGTTTAGCTTAAATCGACTCATGAATCCGACTATCAAATTGATACACATAAATTGATGTACTTATCAATAAAAAAATAGTCTTTACTTCTTGTTGATACTGGTTTGGTCTGTGAATCAAGTGTATAAACTAAGTGAACTGCTCGTCAATTCAGATCTCTCCAGTTTTCAACATAAATTTTTGTTAATCATGATGTTTTTACCTTCTTACCAGTGTATGGAAGTGTACGTGATGTGTTTTCTGTAATTCTGTCAAATTTAGTTACAAACCATTTTTATAGTATTTATAGGTAATTCAGTGACTGGGACATTGAAAGAAGAACTTAGTTATTTTCAACACACTTAAGTCTAATGAAATAACCGTATAATTCAATGGATGTATTTTTTATAAATCTACTTCTTCTTAAAGATCCATCTAGTCTTTTTTACAAGAGGTTAAGAATGAATAACCTACTATTAGCTTGTTCTTTTTTCAATGGTAAATAATGAAGACTTTCAAAAATTCCTGTTCATGAATATTTTTGTTTTACTCACTTAACACATGTCTGAATAACAGCAAAATTATACGACGTCTCCTAGAATGAATCCTTTTCGAATGTGGCTTTATAGAATATCTGCTGTTAGTAAAGTTTTATTCCACTATATAATATTCGTTTTTTATAAAAGTAAAATAGATATTCTGGTGTTTGTTTAATCAGTTGTTTTTTAATTTATTCCAGTGTATCAATTCACTTGGTGTTATTTACTTGAATCTTCCCATTGATATTTAAGACTTGAATTGATCAATCTCTTATTGGTATATGGGCATACTCTGTGGATTGCCTCGATATAGTGGAATCTACGATGCGCGTTCCATCCTATTTAGGACTCGTCAATTGGATGTACCTTCATCTCAGAGTTGATGTTCATTCCGGGACTCAAACACGGTATCGTTCAATTCAAACGCCATCGCATTATCTACTCAGCTACTGATTCCTGGTAGCCACTTTCTTGTACAGTGAGGTGGAGTCTACGGTCCTTGGTTCGAGCCCGAGAATGAACATCAAATCTGAGATGTATGTACGAGTCTCAACTA